GCGGTGCTCAAGTACGAGTGGCCGAGTGCCGCCCCCTCGTGTGTGCTGCCGTGCGGCAGTCGGGTGCCGGGGCGCGCGTGTATCAAGACGGCACAGCAAAAGGGCGCCATCAGCTTCGCCTTCTCGTTCCAGCCCAGCGGCGTCCCCACTCCCGCCGGCTTCATCGCCGACAACGGCCAGGAGCGGTCCACCAAAGCTGAAGTCGGCACGCCAGTCTTCGGCTGGACAAGAGACGCCCACAGAAACATCGTGCACTGCCCCCACAAGTCGGCAGCGGCGACCGACCCCCTCAACAGTTATGGAATTTCCTTCCCGCCGGCCCCCGAGACGCAGGAGTGCCGCGAGCAGCGAGTCGACTGCACGCCCAACAGCTGGACCGTGGCCGGGCTGCCGACCGGACGATACCTCGTGCAGGCCCAGATCGGCAGCCCGTGCGCCACTGTGGCACCGCAACACACACACAAGGAGGGCGGCACCACCAAACAGTCATTCGACCTCCAGGTGAGTCATTCATTCATTGAGTCAGTGAGGACGGCACCATGGGCAGCCTGTCGATCGATGTGTGGATGGGTGCGTGTGTGTTTGTGTGCAGGTGAACGGCGTGTCGTTTGTCAAGCACAAGAAGCTCGCCGCAGGACAAATCTACTGGGTCAGCCCACCCACCCACAACACAACACAACACAACACAACACATGGATGGATGGATGGATGGACGACACACATGTGCGGCTGTTGTGAGTGATGTGTGTGCAGGCGAGTGGTGAGGTGACAGTGGACGACAAGAGCATATCGGTGACGGCAGAGTGCATGGCGAGCGGCGCGTCGCGCGAGAGTGTGTGTGGCCACAGCCACACCACACTCATGGCGCTCACCATCCAGCGAGCCGCACAGCCCACACCAGACAACGATGACCCATGAGACACAGACAGCCAGAGAACTAACTGAGTGGATGACTAACTGAGTGGATGGACTAACATCGTGATGCATATGTATGTATTTGATCCATGAGTTGATCGACGGTGAATGGATGGATCGAAGGATGAGTTGGCTTGAGTGAGCATTAATTGCACACTTCGATCATGCATTCGATCATGCATGGTGCATGGTCCCTTTCACGCATCCACACGTACGTACATCCACCCAATTTGATATATATGCACACACCATCCACACGCGTACGGTACACGAAGGCAGTGGCGTCCAACTTCCCCGTTGACCCCACTGCCCGTCGACCTGGGCAGTGAATTGCACAAGCACGATCGAAGGGACGCTACTCACACAAACATACTTGTGTGCCCTGACTTTCCATCCATCCATCCATCCGTCCATCCAGCTGCAGCTAGGCAGGCAGATGTCTTTTGTGTCTTTCCTCTCTTTCAATCGGTACATCGGCCTCTGTCTGTCCCCCCATGACCACAGCCACCAAGAACGATCGAAGGCACACTCTTGCACGAGCTGGCAGTCGGCCGTCAATGGCTGCTGGAGCATAGGGGAACGAAGGCCGAGGTGCTCATCAACAAAACAGACTGGACAAGTGAGTGAGTGAGTGAGTCATCGCGTGATCTTCTTCCTTGCTTGCTTGCTTGCTTGCTTGCTCACCCACAACACACACACATACGCGACACCAGGCAGGCATCGTTCCCTTCCCGTGCACACAGATGGATACACACAGACAGCACGCCAGGTACCCCCCACCCCCGCTGCACCGCAGACTAGGTAGGCTATTCAGGTCTGATGCGCTGCATGCGGCCTCCAACGCGTTCCCACTGCTTCTCGTATTCCCTCCTCGCCCTTCACCGCCGTCCACCTGCTGCTGCAGCTGCTGCCGGGGCACCGCTGGGTGGGGGTGGTGGTTGTGGTTGTGCTTGCGCTTCTTCCGCGCGCAGAGGTGCTCTGTGTCCGACTCGGTGTCGTCTTTGGGCGCACCTCTGCAACATAACACACACACACAGAGTCCATCAGGTGCTTGGCTGTGACTGTGGGCGTGTGTGTATATGTGTGTGTGTATGTGTGTGTCTGCCAACGTACCGCTTGCGGCCGCCGCCCACATTGCCATGAGCATCAGGCATCAGCTCGTCACCGTGGCCAGCTCCTGCAGCAGCAGCCGCAGCAGCTCTCGAGGCCTTCGATGGCACCACATGAGCCAACCCTGCGGAACAGGGACAGAATGGATGGATGGAACTCACATATGCACATTTGTGCAGGGTTTCCTCACTCGCTCAGTCACTCACTCACTCACCGTCGTCAATGTCCATATTGTCACCTCGGTCTTCCTGGAGGGAGCGGCCGGGTGGCCTGAAGAGCTTGCCGGCCAACTCTGCACCAACATCCACAGACGAGAATGGTCACTTTTCGCTGCATGGCCCATGCCGTCTGCCTTTCCTTCCATGTGTGTGTATTCACCTCCAGCCTCTTCATGTGCGGCAAACTCTTCCATATCGGTCAACATGCCCACACGACGGCCGCGCGGGGCCGGGGGACGGGGAGGGGGAGGCATGTCCACGCCGCTCTCGCCCATCGCCTCGCCATCACGCGAGGCCCTGCCATTCTGGCCACCAGCAGCAGCAGCGGCGCCTGCGCGAAAAGGGAGAGAGGCACAGATGGATTGACGTGTGTGCATTGTGGTTGGTTGGATGCGGACGTCCCTCCCTGCACACCCACTCACCGTCATTGATCTCCATGTGTTCGTCTGGGTCTCGGAGGAGCGGCTCGCCCAAGAAGCCGAGGCGACGGCGAGGGGGTTGTGGCGGCTCACGGGAGTTGCAGTCCATTCCTGAATTGACACACGCATACGAAGGGGGAGAGGCGGGGTCAGTTTGGCTGTCTGTGTGTACAGGCCTTGCGTGTGCGTGTGTTTGCATACCAGCAGCAGCGTCGTCCCCCCTGTAGTTGTCCATCTCAGCCTCAAGGTCCAGACGCATGGGACGCCCGTGTGGAGGGGGCGGGGGGAGTGGGGGAGGCACTGACAGACAGACAGACAGACAGAGGCAGACGGCCAACCGGCGTCGGCGAATGAGAGGTATGTGTGTGTGACCGATGGGTGTGTGTGCGTATGTGCTTACTCAGGTCATTCTCCTCAGCCATCTCGTGCCTGTCCGCAAACAACTTCATGGCCCTTCCGCCACGGGGGGGCGGGGGCGGAACACGGGCAAAGGCGGCACCTGACGGAGGGAGACATACAAATGAGGGTGAGGAGGAAACACACTTCGAGTGCCTGCCTGCCTGCCTGCCTGCACACGCACCTTCAGCCATCTTGCTACACCATTGTCTGCCCGCTTCCGTCAGGCCGATGTTGGGGGCGATAGATCGGTACTCGCGGATCTGCACCAGGCAGGCAGGCAGCAGCCAAGCAGAGCATGAGACAGTAAATGTGTGGAGTGTGCAGCGATCCGATCCACACCTCGCTGTATGCCATATCGAACAGGTTCCTGCCCTGCCCATCGTCCACAGCAGCAGCCGCGGCGGCAGCGGCACTGGCGGAGCCTCGGTTCTGCGTGTATATTTTCTTCTTCAACGCAGCGACCACACACGAGGCTATGCAGCCTGTCCGGGAGACGCCTGTATGGGCAGCAAACAGACATGCAGACAAGGACACATGTGTGTGTGTGCGTGGGGCGGTGTGTGAATCTGACTGTCCAGTCGGCTGTTAGTTGGTGCAGCCAGTGATGGGCTCTCACTGACTCAAGTGACTCACTCACTCACCCGCACGGCAGTGTATTAGCAGGGTGGTGTCGGGATCCTGGAGGGCACCGAGGCAGTAGTCGATGGCTGCGACTCCAGCTGTCGCGAAGTTGTGCACCGCGTCCTCACTGCCATCCTGCACACACACAGAGAATGAGATATCGACTGCCCGTCCTTCTGCGTGTGTGTGTGTCTGTGTGGTGTTTGTCCGCCCACCTTCATATCTTTGACGTCATAGAAGGTCACGTGCGGCAGGTCGTCGCGCCTCGACTTGCACACATAGTCGCCCCCCGACGTGTCCGCTGCCGCCAAGTTGCACACATGGGTGACCGTAGCCGACTTGAGAAACTGACAGATGGACAGACAAGCAAAGACAGGAATGTGTCACCACAGATGCCGATATCGCCCTCAGCACACAGGGGTGCGTGAATTACCTACCTCAGTGTCATGCGCGGCCTCCTTGCTCCCTATGAGGAGCCTCCCCTTGGCCATGCCCAGATCATAGATCCGCACGACGTTCCTCCTAGAGCAGACACACATAGAGAAGGATGATTTGTATGGTCGTCTGCTGCCGTCCCCATTGCTAACGCATCGCACGTACTCTTGCTTGTGATCGAATATGGTGTTGGTCAGCGGGTCCGTGCGGTCCATCTTGTTGGTGCGGTTGCCCTTGGGCGACGGGCGACTCTCTTCTAGAAGAAAGAAGAGTCCGTTCGGTTCGTTCCCTCCCCCTCGCCCATTCACTCACTCACCAGCCGGTGCGTCAACGTCTGCATCCGTATCGATACACAACCCCAACCCTCCCACTCGACGACGGCATGGCGGGTCTACAGTCGGTCAACGAAGGACAGACAAGAAGCCCACAGCCAGCAATCATCCCGCCTCCCGCATGCATGACTGGCTTGAACCTCACCAGGTCTCTTGGGTGAGTCCTGTCGGCCCAGTCGGGGTGGGCTCCTTGGCGGGCTCCTGGGCCGGCTCCTGTGCCTGCTGCTGGGCGGTGTGTCAATGGCTAGGGAAGGCCGCTTCATCCTCACTGCCAGGAGCTGCATATGCAACAGCCAAAACACCGCTCAGCAGATACGTTTGCATGCGTCACGAAGCACTGTCATACACAAGGAATGCAGTGTCGGCGACCACTCACCGATGCTGTCCGTGGCTGCCGCTTGCCTGTCAGTCCTCCTTGCGCGTTGTGCTCCCTTCTTCTGCGAGAGGGTGACAAGGCGAGCGCTCCGAGCGGCGCAAGCAACACTGCCAGCGCAACGCAGCGAGATTGAGGCCTACTGCCTGTCTTCCAGACACGGGCAGCTACTAGGACCACACTCGCGCACACAGAACTCCAGCAGAAATTGCTGTGAAACAAACATGAATCCTAAAGCCGAATACAAGCTCGCAGAGTTTGTGACGATGGTGACAATAGCGCACTGTTCTCTGCTGCGCACATACCCTTTCTCGAGTCGTTTGCAGCGATCGCGGATCACCTGTGTTGCCGGATGGGTGAATCGTAGTGTACACAACGCGATGGAGTGAGTGGACATCGAAGACAGCCTCCCAGGCCTCTTGTCCGCCGCAATGGAGGGAGCAGAAGGTGCATCTGCAGCGGCCCATCCATCAGATGCCGACGGCGTCCATGATCAGCCGATGCCGCCGCAACACGAGCCGGAGCCGACAGAAGAGCAGAAGCCAGCAGCAGTAGAGGAGGAGGAGGAGCAGCAGCAGCCACACGACCAGCCCGCACACCCTTCATCGGGTGACGCTGACGTCATGATGGATCTCACCGACGACCAAGATGCCGCACATGCACCAGCACAGGCACCGGCACCAGCACCAGCAGCCGACAAGGCGCCGCACACGGGCCGTCAGAGGACCATCAATGAGATGCTTGGCTGGCCTGAGAGCAAGACAGACGACCAGGAGGGAGGGAAGAAGCGAGCGGCTGACGGCGATGTGGTCGACGGGAAGCCCAAGAAGCGCAAGAAGGCGGCGGGCAAGCAGAAGGGTGGAGAGGCCAAACCCAAGGGGGCCAAGGGGGCGGCCAAGGGCAAGCCCTCCCCATCGGCAGACCAGCCACCATCGCATGCTGCCGCCGATGACGGTCCCCAGCCATCCCAGCCAGCCGACCCACCACAGGCGGCTACTGCGGCTGCAGGGTCGTCATCGTTCCAACCGGCGGCTGCCAAGCCACACCCCTTCTTCGATCCGTCCCACTATCAGAGCGCTGAGGTGCAGGCGGAGATGCGCAAGGGCGGCAAGAAGGACAACAAGAAGAAGAAGGACAAGGACGATGGCCCTCCAGAGGGCAAAGGGGGCGGCGAGGGGGGTGGTGCCGGCGAGAAGAAGGACAAGAAGGCCAAGAAGGCCAAGGCGGCCCCCAAGAGGAAGAAAGCAGCCAAGGCCAAAGACAAAGCGGCCGATGACAACAAGAAGAAGAGGAAACAGGCGCCGACCCTGTCCACGGCCAAGAAGGCCACCGACGAAACAAGCGCCGACGCTCCAGTCCTACCAGCGCCCCCAGCAGCAGCTGCAGCAGCGGCAGAGCAGCCGATCCTGATCGAGTCGCCAGCCAAAGGAGAGCAGCCGAGGCTGCCCTTCTTCTCACTATCGGTCAAGCGCGGCGACGGGGGGCAGATGCAGCTGGGCGGCATGATGCAGACGATCGGCCACACCGTCAAGAGCACCATGCCCGTCACAGACCCGCCAGAGTGGCCGACCCACATACGGCCGAGTGCCCAAGACAACGAGGCGCAGAGCGGAGCCATCGCAGCCATGGCTGAGGGGCGGGTGCCGTCGCTCCCCGGCACTGGCAAAAAGGGGCCCATGTCAGAGCGCCTCCTCTCCTTCCCCCCAGCTCAAGACGACGACCACGCCACCGCTTCCCAGCAGCCGGCATCAGCAGATGAGAGCCTTCTCTCTTCTCGTTTTGCCACCATCTTGGCGCAGGTGCGGCAGGAGGAGCAGATCGACATCACCGACAGCCCGCCGTCGCAGCCACAGCCGGTGGAGCAGGAGCAGCCGTCAGCAGGGGAGCTGTCGGACGACGCCAAGAGGGCCATTGGCGAGGTGGTTGCGCGCATTGTGCGGGGCAGTGGTGTTGGGATGGATACGGGCGCAAGGATGGGTGACGGCGGTGGCGGTGGCGGTGGTAGTGAGGGAGGTGATAGTGCGGGAGATGGTGAGGTAGCGTGGGCCATGCGGCTGGTGGAGCGGCTGTGCAAGCGGAGGGCCGCCGCCGCCGCCGCCGCTGCTGGTGGATCAGCATCGGGGACACCGCTGTGGAGTGCTGTGTACAGGTAGGTAGGTGGGTGGGCATGCATGGCAAGAGAGGGAGGGAGGGGAATGTGTATGTGGGTATGTGTGTTCTATAGTGTGGAGGAAGTGGACGATTGGTTAGGTGACCCCGACAGCGTCGCGACCCTCCTGCAGTTCTTCAACGACTGCAAAGACCGTATCACCGACGCGCAGGAGGCAGCACGTGAGCGACACTCGCCATTATCGGCCACCACACATCCACAACCACCGACCACCTCGTCCATATCGAGTAGCCACCTGCTGTGCCCTTGTTGTGACAGAGCTGCGTCGTCACGAGTCGTACGATTGGTTGGATGACGGCGACTTCGTGCCTGAGGAGCCGCTGCGCGGGCGGCGTGGGCCGCCTCCCTCGGTGCTCTACGTTCATGGCCCCCCTGGCTGCGGCAAGACCGCCCTGGTGCAGCTGTGCGCAAAGATAGCTGGCTTCCAGGTAAACAAAAGGAGTCATGTCACCTCATGAGTGGGTACATGGGTGTGGCAAGTGCGGTGTGTGGTGTGGCTGATCAGGTCGATAGTGTAGATCCTTCTGAGTTGGTGGATTCCTCCGTTTTGACGAAGCGCTTCGAGGCGGCCAAATGCCAAGACATACGACGGGTAGGCAGGGCACACACACACAGGCACCATGCAGGCAAAGCACCCCACCACATCTCTCCTGTCGCCCTTGTTTCGTTGCAGCAGCCCCCACCAAGGCCATCCGCCGCTGCCCTCCTCTTCCCCCCTCCTGGCCCCCCTCGCCGGCCCCCCCGCCCCGCTCGCCCGGCTCGAACACGCAACAGCCCCCTGATATCCATCGACGAGGAGCCGGAGGACCTCGACGGCCACGATGGGCCCGACATCGACATGGCCCCCCGTCGGCGGAAGCGGGGCAAGAACAAGAAGAAGCCAGCCGACAGCAGTGACGATGAGTGGGTGGGCGAGGGAGATGGAGATGGAGATGAGAGTGAATATGGCCATGACGACGAGGCGCCAAAGGCCCGCGCCAAGGGCAAGGGCAAGGGGAGAGGGAAGAGCAAGGCGAAGGCCAAGCCCAAGGGGCAGCTGGGCATCCTGGGCTTCCTCAAGATGCCACAAAAGAAGGAACCTCAGAGAGGGGGAGAGGAGGGTGAGGGAGAGGGCAAGAGTGAGGGGGCGGGTGCGCCGGTGGTGGCCATCAAGGAGGCCTCAGATGAGGGCGACGACGAGCAGCTGCCCGCCAAGAAGAAGAAGAGACGACGGCTCAAAAGGCAGGGTAAACACCTGAGCACCAGCAAGCATCTCGTCTCTTCACTCTCTATGTCTGGTATCCCATGGATCGATGTATGCAGTGTCTGATTCGGATCACCACGATGCTGCCGAGGATCGCGACCAAGAGCAAAAGCACCAGCAGGCCGCAGCAGCTGAAATCGCATCCGATGCAGCCCGCTCCCAGCAGCCATCGTCGCCCTCATTCCGGCTGCTTCTGGTGGACGACACGGATACCCTCTCCCCCAAGAACCTCCCCGCCCTCCACAGGCTCACCCAGCACAACCCCACCGTGCCGGTGGTGCTCATCGGCGGCGGCCAGCCGTCCATCATCCCCCCCGCTTTCAGCTCCTTCACGTCATTCCGCGTCCCTCCGCCGTCTCCCCGTCTCGCCGCTGCGTTGCTGGCCGCTCTCGTGCTCATTGAGAAGACACGCACCGAGGGAACACCGCACAGCGATCTGGCGCAGTGGCCGCCTGTGGCGCGATTCCTGGCTGCCCCGTTCAAGGGCGACGTGCGGCGGCTCCTGAACCAGACGCACCTGGCCATGGCGCAGAGCAGCGGGATGAGCGTGGAGCGCATTGTCGACGTGATCACGGCTCTCCCCTTCTCGACTCTTGCTGGCGCGTTGAGGAGTGGAGGTGGGGTGTCGGAGGGATCGCGTGACGAGCAGATGTGGTGGGCCGTCGAGGAGATCCGCGCCGCCGAGGCCATCCCTGTGTCGACTGACGATGACATGCCCCCACTGCCCTTCAGCCCTTCCCCTGCCTTCATCTCACCCCCGATCGACGAGCCCGCGACGCACACCACAGACGCAGTGCGGCCCCGAGGTGGCATGGAGCCGCTCTGGGTGGGGGCACCATCACCAGCTGACATCGACAGTGACACGCTGGAAGCAATGACGTCCTGTGCTGACATGTGGGTGCACATCGATGTGTGCGAGTCTCGGCTGCGGCGTGCGTACGGTGGTGAGGGGTGGGTGGGGGGAGTGGCGGAGGGCGATAGGGACAAGAGCCCCAATGGGGGTGGGGCTGGGGGTGTCGCGCAACTCGATGAGGAGCAGGAGACGGAGTTGGACACCGAGAAGGCGGCCAATGCGGCCCTGCAGAGGGGGCGGTGGCAGCTGGTGTACTCGAGACACGACTACCTCCGCAACATGGCAGAGACCCCGGCGGCACATGGTAGGCAAGCAGCCACTGGGGGAAATGTCACACATACACACATGTGTTGTCATTCTTCCTATTTGCTGTTTGTGCAGCGTCTTGGCGCATAGAGGAGTGGAGCGCAGCGATGCAGTTGTCGATAATGAGCACGCTCTCCACACCCTCAGCCCAACAGGAGGACAAGGAGGGAGGGGGGCAGACCGACCCCGCCACTCTGTGGCTGCCTCGCCTGCAGACACTGCCGCCGTCGCCCGGGCACCTCCCAGGTGCGTCCATAGCACAGAACACGACACAACGAGCTCCATCCACTGCATGTCTGTCTGTCCTCATGTCGCCTTTCCTCATGTAGTAGCGGCCAACCCCCTGCACCATCTCTCCGTGGGCATCCTGTGCCCCCCCTCCCGCTCGCCCAAACCCGTCCCCTCCAGCAGCGCCTTCTTCGACGCCTTCACGTCCTACCTCCCACTCATGGCCGGCATCGCCCGTCTGGACTCTGAGCCACACGCAAAGGAGCGGCAGTTCATGACCCAGTGGCTGAGCGCCTTCAGAAAGCCGGACAATGAGGACGGGTTTGACGACGAGGGGAGCGAGGAGGGAGGGGTGCGGACCAGGGCCATGAAGGAGAGAGATCGAGACCGGGGCAACGGCAATGGGCGGCCGGACGGAGAGGCCATGCGGTGAGAAGGGAGGGAGGGAGAGAGGGAGGATGTCTCGCTGCGATTGTGGCTTTTGGTTGATTTTTCTCCCTGTTTGTCTCTCTCTATCCTGTCGTGGTCATCATTCATTCATTCATTCGTTCATTGCAGCAAGCAGACGAGCGCTCTGGCGAGGAAAGTAGCAACAAAGCAGCAGAAGAGCCATGCGGTACGCGAACGGCACAACACATAACATATATACAACACATTCACACAATAGTACCGACCGACCCTTTGTTCTTCCTTTCATCTGCAGCTAGAGCTTGGCCACCTGATGGCCCACCTCGACACCCGCTTCCCCCGCGCCGCCCGAGCCATCAGCACTACCGATGCTGGCAGGAGAGACCGAGACCGAGCAGATGTGGTCATGACGCCCAGCCAAGACGACGCGTCGGGGCTGAGCGGAGGGGAGGGGGAGAGCGAGATCCCCTCACACCACCACGACGCGAGTGAGAATGACGCCCCGATCGCTCCTGTAGATGTGGCGCAGCTGTCGAGCGACGCGCAGATGCTGTTCGGGCCTGACATAGAGCGCGAGAATCAGGCGCTGAGGGAGGGGGGGCAGCAGGCTGGTGCCGAGGGAAGGGAGCGAGGAGGAGGGGAGGGGGCGGGGTGATCGGACATGTTGCATTGCAGAATGGACGGACGGTAGATGCTTCAATGAATAGCGCTTGTGTGACCTCAAAAGGCGTCGAACAACCACGCCAAGTGCATCTTTGCGCGCTTGGCGTTGGCTCGAACGCTTTGCGGTCGACAAGAAAACGCCTTGCCCCTTGAGCTGAGTCCAATGGCATTCCTCAGAGCCGTTTTCTGTCTTCTGGCGCTCTCCGTCGCCACCCTTGCTGCGCCCTCGGCCGACCCCTCGGCGGACGTGCTGGAGGTTAGCGTTCGCGAGACTTCGGCTGGCAAGTACATGATCGGTGTGACGCTGGAAACGTCTGACGTGGACTGCACACACTACGCCAACTGGTGAGCCAGGAGAAAACAGACCAACCGAGCAGCTGTGCTGCCGCCGGTAACCTCTCCCTCTGCCTCTCTGTTCGCTTCAGGTGGGAGGTGCTCAGTGAGGACGGTAAGGCAGCACACCGACCACACCAGAATAGGCACACCCTACGGCCTCCCCTCCCCCTTTGCGCGTGCTGCAGGCGAGCTGCTGTACCGTCGCATCCTTCGTCACAGCCACGCCGCCACCCAGCCCTTCACCCGCTACTCCGAGGACGACGTGTCGCTCGAGGAGGACCAGGAGATCATCGTGCGTGCCCACATGCACGTGGACGGCAAGGAGCTCTACCCCGACAGTCAGGTCCTCAAGGGCAGCGCCAAGGCGGGGTTCGCAAAAGCCACGCTGGAGAAGAACTTTGCTGCCGCTGTGGAGAAGGAGGGGCCGCAGGCCGAGGGCTGCCTGTATTGATGATTACGCGTCGGGAGTCTGAGGCCAGCCAGAAGAAGGCTTCCGAAGTGGAGCTATCTATAGTTGCATTGCACACAGTCATGGTTTTTGCGTCTGGTTTTCGCCACGGAGGGATGTGTACAGAGGTTAGCAAAGAGCATCTTATTGGGTGGGGTGGTGCAAATGCACGTACTTAGAGGCAGGCGGGGGTGGGTGGGGGTCTGAGAGGGTGTGGCTGGCTGGCTGGCTGGTGCCACTCGCTGTCTTGCTGGATCGTTCTATTCTGGTCTGTCTGTTTGCGATGCTATGCGGCTGTGTCGATAGGTAAGACGTGCACATCGATAAGTGTTTCGTTGCTCTCTCCTGCTCCGACCCGACACACTTGGCTTGGCTTACATTACATTCAATGCATTGTGTGTGTCTGGAAATTATATGGCTGGTCATATCAATGTCAGCGCATCACTGACGGCGAGAACTGATAAGTCCGACTCAGATCTGACCATTCATTTGACCACACAGACCCCCATTGCAGCGGGGTTCACAAAACGTAAACAGAACTTGAAGGGCGAGGAGAAGGGGAGGTAGAGAACGTCGTGAGGCACCTGTCTGTCTACAAAATGGATGGCTCTCGTCCGACTGAAGGAGATCAGGCCGACGAACTGGCGCCCTCGTCTGGTGCGGCAAGTGGCGCTGCAGCCGACGCCTGTCTGTCTGGGGTTGTGCCTTCGCTTTCGCCGTCCACAGCGCATCACACAGATCCCGCTGGTTTCGGTGGAGGCAGCTCCTCCTCGTCTTTGTACATTGCCTTGTTGCGCGAGTGGCGGTTCTTTCTCTGTGGGCTCACCAGTGGAGTGGCGCAAGCGGCGGCCTTCACGCCTGTTGATAGAGGTGGGTATGTTGGTCAGCCTGTGCGTGCACTAGATGGCCACCAGATCTGTGTTGTCCAACTCTCTATGTGTATGTGCAGCATTGTATCTTTCGGTGAGGGATCGGCGGCCGTTTCTGCATCGGCAGAACTGGGTTGACCCATACCAGGGCTTCCTGCAGACCATTGTGCACAGAGCCGTCAGTGGAGGCCTCTACTTCCCACTCGGTGACCAGCAGGGCGGCATGACAGGCACCACTATTGGCCACTCATTCATCAGTCGAGTGTCTATGTGTGTGTGTGCAGAGAGTCTGTTCAAGCCGGTCGTTGAGGAGCTGTTGAGGTCGCAGGATGACGATCGGCCGCTTGGGGCGTGCGCGTACTTCCTCGCGGTGAGGATGTTCATGCACACATAAAGGCATTAGCACATGGATGCGATGCGTTGCGTTGATGAACCTACAGGGAAACGCTGCTGGAGTGACCAATGCGCTTCTGCTACACCCCTTGGCAACGGTCAAGTACGCGTGTTGGGGCCAGCCAGCGGAGGGCGGGCGGTTCTGGCCGGTGGTGCGGCACATCTACTCGGAGGGCGGGGTGCGGCCCTTCCTCAGAGGCGCATTAGCCACTGTCATGCGAGATCTCACCTTCGGGGTCAGTCAGAGAATGAAATGCACACCAAATCATCACGAGAAAACATGCCTGCCTCCGGTCGTCACGTGTCGTGTCTGTCATTCACTACCTAGGGTCTGTTTGCGGCCATTCGCCATCCGATGACCCGGTTCGCTTTGCGGACGGAGCGGGAGATCAAGGAGCGCATCATCCGAGCACGCAGCTCATCTCCAACAGCGGCAGCCGTCTTCCCCTCCCTCTCCCTCCCCCCAACAACACACACACACGCCCCCGCATCATCCCAGCCAGCAGCTGCTGCATCCCTCACAGACCTGTCCATCGGTGACCGTCCCCATTCTCCTGCGGACGGGGGCATGGCTGCCCCCTTGCTGCCGTCACCTGTTTCTGCGCGCCATCACAGCCCTGTGACGAGGAGTGGTCTTGAGGAGGACCGGCCGGTGGACCATCAGCACGGCAAGGAGCTCGATTGGCGGAGGAAGAGGGAGAGGGAGAGGGAGCACCCCCAACACCAACACCACCATCATCATCACCACAGGCATGGCAGGGGCGGAGCGGGCGACGAGAAGCCTGGCCTGACATTCTTCGTCATCAACTCGTTCGCGGCCATGATTGCTGTGGCCGCCAGCAGCCCGTTCAACTACATCCGGTAGGTGGGCGACCACAGACAGACAGGCAGGCAGACACCAACGAGGGTGTCCGTCCATCTACCTCTCTCTTGTCGTGCCTGCCCTGCCCTGCACAGGAACATCAAGTTCGCGATCCCGCCAGGACAGCCCACACCGTCGGGCCCAGCCATCCTGAGAGAGTTATGGCGCGAATCCATCGAGGAGGGCGCCAAACTCGCCGCGGAGCGCAGGCAGCTGATCCAGGACATGGGGAGTCGGCCGCCGCCCTCCCTGCCGGTCTTCATGAAAGTGTTGGCCCAGCACCCGATACGCGTGGAGGTGTCGCGGATGCGTGGCTTCTGCCGGCACATGGGGACGCGCCTGCGGCTGGGGTGGGGAAGCTCACGTGTGGCTGTGGGGATGGCCTTCGCCGCTGTGGTGTACCAGTACTGCATCGATTGGACCGCCTGTGAGTGAGAGAGTGAGGGCGGGATGGGAGGGAGAGGAATGGGTATTTTTTCAGCTGAATAGCTGAAGAAGGAGCAGGAGAAGAAACGAGAAGAGATTTCGCTCTTGCGAATGAGAAAGGGATGCTGTTTCCCATTTGTGGGGGATGGGGGATTGAGGGTTTACGGCGCGTCTGCACAGAGGAGCCTCCGTATAGCAGGCAGGTGATGGCGCGTTCAGTCAGCCAGACATGGCATGTGCTCGCGTGGTGGGTGTATCGGTGGGCGGGTGGGTGGACATGGTCTGCATTGACTGACTGACTGACAGATACTCATACTGGCATTTTGCCTGTCTTTTCAATCATTTTGTCGTCCCTCAATCGCATCCACACACACGTCAAAAGTCTCGTGTCACTGTCACACGATCCATGCACAAGGACACTCACACGCAAGCCCCCTACTTCTTCCTCCTTGGCCGTCTCGCATTGGCCCTTCTCTTCCTGCCGGTCCCTTTGCCCCCTCCTGCAGATGGTGCCCCGCCCCCACCATCAGCCGTCACCAGCTCAAACATGCTGTCGCCTCCCCCGCCCTTGCTGGCCGCCTGCTGCTGCTTTTGGCCCTTGGTCATCTCAGCGAGCATTTTCCTGCTCTGCTCCTCGATCAGCCGCTTCTCGGCCGCCTCCTTCTCCGCCCTCTCCCTCATCAAAGCGCCCATTCTCTCTTCCAGAAGACGTGCCTGCTGGGGATTGTAGCCGAACAATGCGTCGACATAGTTCTCGGCATCGAAGTCTCGGAGGTCCTCCAGCTTCTCCCCCACACCCACGAGCTTGACGGGCAGGTTCAGGTCCCGAACCACCGACACGACAAAGCCCGCGCGAGCAGTGCCGTCGAGTTTGGTGACCACCAGGCCGGTCACCCCGATGTCCTCCTGCCATATGCGGGCCTGCTCCACCGCATTGCGGCCGATGGACGCGTCAACCACCAGGAGGATCTCTGCGGGGGCGGCAGGGAGTCTCTTGGACGTCACTTTGACCATCTTCTCGAGCTCCTCATTCAGATCGACGTTGTTGGCCAGCCGGCCGGCGGTGTCGACAATCATAACGTCGTAAGGCAGCCTGCCGGACTCGTCTGGGAGAGGAGTCAGCGCCTCGTCCAGGGCGGCCTCGACCACCTTCCATGGCTCCGTTTCCCCCTCCTGCGGCCTGTGGATGTCCACTTGGGCGCGGTTGGCCCACTCCTCCAGCTGGTCGACTGCTGCTGCGCGAAAGGTGTCGCAGGCGGCGACGAGCACACGCTTGCCCTCACCCCGCAGCCGAGCCGCCAGCTTGCCGATGGTGGTGGTCTTGCCCATCCCGTTGGCACCCATGACCATCCACACAGTCAGCCCGTCAGGGCTGTACCGGAGCGCACTTGGCGACTCGGTGGTCTCGCCCTTGTCTGTCCCCATGCGCAGCACCTCCAGTATCTTGCCTCGCAGGACCATCTTGATGTCTTCAGGGTCGATCTTCTCGCCCCTCGCCGTCGCCCGCAGATCGGTCAGGATGTCGGCTGTGGTGGCCGTGCCGATATCTGCTGACAACAGGATCTCCTCGAGCTGCTCGAGCGCCTCCTCCAACTCGAGGTTTACCATCCCGAAGAGGCCGGAGAGGCTCGCCAGCAGCCGGTCTCGCGACTTGCTGAGCCCCTCTTGGAACTTCTGCAGGTTCTCGCCCACCTTGGAAAGCTTGTCAATGTCCTCCTGGGCCTTGCGCTGGATGAAGTCGAGAATCATCGATGGCTGGTGGTGGGTCGGCCGCCGGGCGTAAGGGCGGGTGGCACGCCGTCGTGGCAATGGGTTGTGCCGGGTGTGCCATCCGCGATATGAGGGCAGCGGGGCGATGAAAGATGGAAGGTGGGATGAAAGGGTGTAGAGGGAGCTCACTGCTGATATGGCTGATGCCACTGCTGCTGTCCAGAGGAGGAGCAGGACGCTCGAGAAAGGCAGCATCGCCATGGGATGCTGTCGAATGCACATGCTGCGAACGAAACTATACCACCAAATCGCTGTTTCACCTCTTGCTGCTCACAGCGCTCTCTTCATATGCAGTCCAGCGACGTCTGCTGAAGCTTTTGCAGATCTGCCAGCTCGTGCGGCGTCGGGGAGATCGTGAAACCGAAGCAGGTCAATTGCGAGCTTAGATGTTACAACGCTGCGGCTGCGTCCATAAAAGCGTCGGTCAACGCAGCAGGGAGCATTCGTTCAGATCCTATCGATGGACACGGCGAGATCTTCGGCCACTGTGTCTGGCGGTGGCGATGAGGGTGCTGAAACATTGGGCAAGTCGAAGAAGTACCGGAAGCCCAAGCCGTGGGATACAGACGACATCGACCACTGGAAGATACCCGAATTCAAACAGGCGAGGAAGAACAAAGCAAGCTCCGGGTGGATGGATGGACGGCATCCATTGACTTCTCTCGTCGTGTTGCTGCTTATGTGCTTCCTTTCACAGGAGGACAATCCGTCTGGTTTGCTCGAGGAGAGCTCCTTCGCGACTCTCTTTCCAGCCTACAGGGAAAAGTATCTCAAGGAGGTCTGGCCGGACGTCAAAAGGTGAGGCGGAAGATGGTGCCATGACATCCATGTGCAGTGCAGCAGTGTTTGACGGCTGCACTCACTCATGTCTGTGCGTTTCGTGTGTGCGTTCACTTCACCAGGGCATTGGGCGAGCACCACATCAAGTGTGCGCTGGATCTGGTGGAGGGGTCGATGTCTGTTGCGACGACCAAGAAGACCTGGGACCCCTACATCATCATCAGGGCACGCGACATGCTCAAGCTGCTCGCCCGGTCGGTGCCCTTCCCACAAGCCGTCAAGATACTCTCAGGTGCGCGAGGGAGTCAAGTCAGCCGTCCAACGGCACACAAAGGCGCACAGGGCAGGCACATGTGATGTATCTGTCATTCATTCAGATGGAGTGTATTGCGACATCATCAAGATCGGCGGCATGGTTCGGAACAAGGAGCGGTTCGTCAAGCGGCGGCAGCGGATGGTGGGGCCCAACGGGTCCACACTCAAGGCCATCGAGATACTCACCAACTGCTATGTCCTGGTCAGGCTGTGGGCAAGGTGGACCCACACCCCAGACAGCCCAGACAGCCCAGCCAGACGGACCAGATGAGTGCATGTCGGTCGATCGGCTGATGGATGGATGGATGGATGGATGGATGGATGGGTCGTGCAGGTGCAAGGGCAGACAGTGAGCGTTATGGGCGACATTCGAGGGCTCAAAGCGGTGCGCGACCTCACACGCACCAGCGGCTGTTTGCTCTTCTCGATTGTCCCTCCCTCCCTCCCTCCGTCCCTTCCTTCCACGTATCAGGTGCGTCGCATTGTGGAGGACTGCATGAGGAACATCCACCCGGTCTATCACATCAAGGAGCTCATGATCAAGCGGGAACTCGCCAAAGACCCCAACCTCAGGGAGGCAAGCCAAGCTTCACCACACAAGACACCACACACACAGCACCCGCTGTAGCAACCATGCAAGAAACACGGTCTTCTGTGTGCACTGGCCGCTGGCGTGCAGGAGAATTGGGACCGTTTTCTTCCCCACTTTAAGAAACGCAATGTGCAGCGCAAGAAGACCAAGATCGTCAAGAAGAAGGACAAACCGCTCTTCCCACCTGAACCGGTCAGTCACTCACCCTCAGACAGACAGAGGCGCAGATGCATTCTAATCTGCCGCCTTGCCCCATCGCCCCCACCCTGTGTCTGTCTGTCTGCGTGCTCACTTTCATGCCTCAGGCGCCCCGGAAGGAGGATTTGATGATGGAGAGCGGCGAGTATTTCCTCTCAGAGGCCGACAGACAAGTAAGCACACACATGACATGACATGAGGGACGGCCAAGCAAGATGCACAACCCACCTACCACCCATGAGTATGGCTGGATGTGTGTGTGTGTGTGTGTGTTGCAGGCCAAGAAGGCGTCAGAGCGTCGTGAGGCTCAGAAGAGCAAGAGCGAGGCCAGGAAGCAGGAGCGGAACAAAGAATTCGAACCGCCAGCCGTGAGAAAGAGGCTTGGGGGCAGACACACGACACCTTCTCTGTCTGCACGGCACGGCACTTTGCTATGTGTTGTGTTCTGTTGTGTTGTGTGGCCAGCCGTCTGCTAAGAAGAGGAAACGGGGTGAGAGTGCCGACGACACGTCAAAGCAAGAGGTGAGCCATCCACCCACCCACCCCCCCTCGCAGCAAAGGACACGGACAGCATCGAGCATCGCCTGTCTGTGTGCTGTCTGGCGCAGGGGCTGCAAGATCTCACTGAGCGGCTCAAGAAAAAGGCCAAGGCCCGCGACACGCTCACCAAGGCAAACAAGAAGAAGAAGGCAGAGGGGCTGCTCATGCAGCCGGGGTAGACAGACACTGTGTGTTGTGTGTCTGGCCGTGCCGTGACGGGAGGAGGGGGGAGGCTGGTTGCCGCGTCAGGCAGACATATCGGCTTGTGTATATCGATGGGCACGTGTCGGTCGGGGCTTTTTCGTCGAGAGAATGGCAATGAGAGAGTGGAGACTGGACTGCTCGATTGTGTTGACAAGGTCACCTTGTCAAGAGGACATCTCTCTCCTTCTGTCGGTCTGTCTGGGCTGCATTCATACTTCATTCATCCATCCACTCATTTACCGCCGTACCCACACATTAGCCATGAATGCGATCTCGCTGGGGCGACTGAACACACACAGACATACCAACAAAGTACAGAAGAGCACAGGCCAAGCGAACACGTGTGCCGCGCTCCTCTCTCTCACCTGCTGTGTGCGAGAGTGTCAATCAGGTCGCCACGAGCCGTTCGAATGAAAGATGTCCTCAGCTGTGTGGCCCCCGGCCCGATGGTTGTCGACGGCCGAACCCTGGTCGCTGTCTTGTCTGTCCCCAGCGGAACAGACACCGTCTTCTGCGTGTCTGATGCCGGCGCCTTGTGCTGCTGCTGGTCGTCTTTGTTGAACGCCTCTGCCAGCACCTCCTGAGTGCCCTTCTCCTTCTGTTCGTCTTTGTCTTTGTCTTGGGGTGGCTGAGAGACTTTGGGAAGCACGGGTACAGTGGATATGCGATGGCGGGGGTGTGATGTGTGGGCCCTTCCTGGCTCCGCCGGGATGGCCACTGTGAGCGTCCGCATCGACATGTAGGCCGCCTCCTTGCCATCGTACTTGTGCTGCACAGAGAGAGAGTCGCTCGCTCGTGAAAGGGCCATATGGTACTGTATGGATGTGTGGCAGTGTGTGTCTCGCCTTCTTACCGCCAGCGTGTTGAAAAAATTGATCTTCTCGCCGGACTTCAAGGCGGGCCTGACCCATCCAGCCATCCAACCATCCAAGAGTCGATGCTTCCCATGGCGTCTCTCTGTCGGTGTCTCAGTCGCTGACTCACTCACTCACTCACCGCCAATTTGGTTTCTTGAATGTCTCCAAGAGCCGTCCAATGGCTGGCGGGACGCCCTTCTTACTGCGGAGTCTGTATTCCTTCGTTCGCCAGAAGAGGCCGGGGCACATGGTCGACTGAACCGCAGAACTGAGAGACGACAAACAGACATGGGCAGCAGACGCAGACGCAGGCAGAGTGGGAGTTGGGGGAAGGCGTCTCCCGCACAGTTTCTACCTACCTGTCTGCGAAAGGTCTTGCACTGTGTGCCATACTAAAGAGACAAACAGGCAAGCGACAGTCTGGGCGGGAAGGTCCTGTCAAGCCATACTCTTTCTACCTACCTGTAAGCGGCGAAGTCCAGCGGCTCCTTGCCGGCCTGCAGTTTCGCTCTGCTGTAGAGGTCCATCTGCAGTGCAAACAGACACAAATCGGTGTGAGCACAGGAGGGATGAAGTTATGTGGCATTGCAGCGTGGCATTCTGCATTGCAAGCGCCCCCTGTTTGTGCCGCTTCCTCTCCGTGCCTGCTTGGTGCGGTGCTCCCTCTCGCCATCGGACCACTGTGCAATGGGGTCGGCAGCTAGCAGAAACGCCATGGTGAGGGGCTACGTCTTATTTTCTTCTCCTTCTGCAGATCGGGGTGGGGACCGAAGGGAGGCCAAGTGATTTGGGGACAACGCTGGCGTCTTTGGCGACGTTCTCGAGTGGCCGTCCCGGTGTGATGGTTCACGTGGAAGACCTTGCAGACATCAGCAGAGGCTAGAGGGTCATTCCGTTTACGCTCATTGGCTAAGCTCGCAGGCTGGATCTGGCTGTGAAGCAGGCTCTGCAAGGCACCTTGTGGATAGCAGAATGAAGGTCGTGGCCCTTCTCGCCTTGACGGCCGCCACGGCCGCCACCGGCTTCGTCCCTGCCCCACTCTCAAGGTGAGCTAATGCAGCCAGCGCCCTGATAAGCCATTCTGTCGCTCATTCGTCCCTGTGTGTGTCATCTGATTGTTCTGCAGGTCTCCTTTGCGGAGCCTGAAGGGCGGCATCGCTCCGGCGTCAGAGACCGCGACCAATGCCGTGCCTCGCGTGATGATAGACCAGGAGCACCCCAGCGACCACCTGCAGGGCAACATCCTGGTCAACTCTGACATCACGCAGGCCCTCATGTCCACCATCCCGTGCTACCGCAAGGGCCTCCCGCCCGGATGGGCAGGTCTCGAGATCGGGATGGCACATGGGTACTTCCTCTATGGGCCCTTCGCGTACGGCGGCCCCTTCAGGAACGCCGACAACTTCAGGGAGATCGGCATCGCCAGTGCGAGCGCACTCATCTTCTTCATCGGCTTCCTCCTGCTGGCCTACGGCGGCGCGCAGAACAACGCCTACCTGATGAACCCGGGCGACGCGTGGGTCACCAAGGGAGCGGTAAGCGACGCGGAAACAGCTGTTCCTGTGGTTGCTTTGGCTTCGTTGATTCCTTCCTTGCCGTGGGTGTGGTTTATGTGCAGGACGGCAAGATCACGTGGAACCAGGAGGCGTCAGGGTGCAGTGGCGTGGGCAAGCTGCTGATCAAGCAGTCCGACAAGACCGGCGGCCTCTTCTTCACCGACCCTGCTGACCCCAAGCAGCTGGAGAAGGTACGCACACACAGCAAGGTCTCTGCAAATCTGTCGATCATGTGTGTGTGCGTGTATGTGTGTGTGTGACTGTGATGCGTGCTATCAGGACTGGCGCAAGTTCTGCTCCTGGTTCACGATTGGTGCCCTCGGCGCGGCCTCGTTCGCCTACTTCGTGTCGAGCCAGGGTGCAGGCTATGACTTGAGCGCTGGTTCCGGCTTCCCGTTTGCGAGCTGAATGGATGCAAGGACGAACAAGCAAACAGCCAGCCAGGCAGCCCGTGTGATGTGCAGTAGACTTCCGGTGAGTCAGCGTGCTCACTGTTTTTCGTCTTTTGAGAGGACCAGGGAGCGTGTGATGTGATGTGAAATATAAGGGGGTGACGAGAGCGTTACGTGGAAGAGAGGGCGACAGAGGTGTCGGAGCGGTGCGCTGCCGGCTTTTCAACTGGCTGTGACCGCTGCGACACCTCTGTTGTCCTCGCTTCTGTATATACGCTTGAGCCCTGTGAAGTGAGGCTGGTGTGACTACTCTAGACTACGACCCACTATGAAGGAATTTTTGCCGAAAGTGCGTGCCTCTCATCATATCCGATCATGTACCCGTCAAACCAGTCACACATTCAAGTCCGACACACCACACGCACGGCACGCTGCAGAAGGTCCACCCATCCCTGACTATCCCTCGATCGGTCAAAGCACACAACACCACAGCACAGCATAGGAGGGGCAGCGTCATAACTCGTCATCGAATATCTCGCTGAGAGAGAAGAATGGGATGGGGAACGATCCCTCGCTGGGCGGCCGGAGCTTCCGCGTGAACCAGTTCAGTCCCCTGTAGAGCGGGATGCTGAGCCGCTGATATTCCAGCACGCCAAGCGTCAGCAGTGCGCCCCAGATGGCCAGTGCGTAGAGCCCCCTGCCGGCCGCCACACCCAGAGCTGCTGCCACCCATATGCCTGGTGGACACCAGCATGACATGACATGACAAGACATGGCAACACATCACAGCAACAGGGGACAAGCAAGCGCTTTCTCTTCCCCCGTGTATTTCGCATTGATCCATTCACCCACAAACTTACCTGCGGCAGTGGTGATGCCCCTGAGAGCGATCTTTCCCCCCGGCTCGACGTTCCAAGAGCCATCAATGATGCCGGCACCGATGAACCCCACACCCGACGCTACTTGTGCTGCTATCCGTGCCGGGTCGCCCCCCACTGAGGCGAAGCTCAGACTCGCCAGCGTGAAGACGGCCGCGCCGACGGACACCAGTGTGGTGGTGCGAATGCCCGCCGGCCGCTTGGACGAGAATCGCCGCTCGATGCCAATCACAGCCCCGACAGCTCCCGCCACGGACAGGCGGCATGTCATCTCCAGCTCGCGCCTCCAGTCGATGAACATGGTCGGCTCGAGGAAGCGGAACAGCAGAGAGAAGATAAGGGAGCTGGTCGACAGCATCGCTATCAGCACGATCTGGGAGAAGTTGTCGAACCGCGAGCGCTCCTTCTCCCTCATGGCGTCCATGGCCTGGGCTGCCGCGCCGTAAGGGCCGAGCGCCTTGTAGTCTGGGGGAGAGTGAGGTGGAGGCTTCACGCTGTTGGCCGTGCCTTTGCTCTTGGGGGCTTTCAGCTCCTCCACTGCCTCGCTCGGCACGTTGTCCAGCAGACTTGTGCTGTGACAGCGGGTCATTGCGGACCGTCGTAGAGGCCGAGGTGGAAAGAGTAGAGGTGAGCCGTCACGTTGCGGCCGTGCCTGGTGGTCCCCAAACAGACCTCCTCTCCGTGGCCGCCTCGCCGTGAGTGCATCATCATCACTGGACAGACTCATCAGTGGCCGTGTCGGTCTGTTGCGATGGGTCCTTGCCTGGATCTCTCGTGGGTGTCGGCGCAACGGCGCGACGAAGGACGGCGGCCTCGCTTCATGGATGAGTCTTGCTGTTCTGTCTGGATGCAAGCACGGGCCTCCAGACGATGAAGCAACCGGGCTTGCCTGCAGCAGTAGTGGCTGGTACAGCGTCATGGATGCCGTCATGCTCATCGGAGGGCGAGCTTAGCTTGGCTGCGAGCTTAGAGTGAGCGAACAAAACCACGACTGCTTGGTGAATCAGAGAGCCAAGCAGTGCACGCAGCAAAAGGTGATCGACAGGAAGGATGGAAGAGTGAACTATTGATTTTTCGTTCGACGCGTACGTACCACCAAGTGGCGATGGTGTTCTGACACGTGGAGCCCTGTGTCTGTTTGTCACCACCTGAGCTGTGAGATAAGATGGCCAACACGATCGTGGATTTCGCCTCCCGCGTGTGGAAGCACCTGCTGAACCGCGGCTTTGACTTCTTCACGGCTCCCGAGCTGGAGCACAACGTGGCCTGGCTGGTGCAGAAGGCGCTGGACGCCGCCACCCTGGTGCAGGAGTCGGGGTGGCAGTGGCAGACCATCACACTCACTCTCGTGACGCTCGTCGTCGTGAGCATCCTCTTTGCTCTGGTCTTCTGGCGGCACCGGGCGCTGTACTATAACCAGTTCTGGGGACTTGCCAGGGCCGTCCATCAGTGGAAGTAAATAGTACGCACACACACACACACACCCCTGCTCACATAGAGGGAGAATCGGTGTGTGTGACTGTCTGGCGCCTTGTTGGTTGTGTTGTGTCATGGTCCTTCCTTGCTGCAGCGTGTTCTCAACGTCGTCTCAGCCCAAGTACTGCAATGTTTGCCGCCGGCTGATCAGCGGCTTCTGGATCTTCCGCAACACCGGCTGGGAGTGCCAAGTCTGCGGACGGTGCGCACACCACAACTGCATCGCTGGTACACACGCACACACAACCACGTGGGGGCACACTCAACCCAGCCGCCCACCCCAGCCATGCACTCACTGCATTGTGTCTGTCTGTTCTGTAGACTGCGAGAAGTTCCACTGCAAGACGCCCTGTCTGCACACGCCTCTCCGCCACGTGTGGGTGGAGGGCAACCTCGCCACCGACAGCGTCTGTGCCGTGTGCGGCATCATCTGCTCGTCGAGCTTTGCGCTGAGGGGCCTGCGGTGCCTGTGGTGCAACAGGACCATTCACGAGGAGTGCAAGGGACAGGCCGACGAGTACTGTGACCTCGGGAGGTTCTGGCGCATCATGCTGCCCCCAAATGCCGTCCGCTTGGCGCCCAGTACGAGCAGCAGTGCCAGGATGTCTGGGGCGCTCGAGAGCTCGTCAAAGTGAGCTGAGCTTTGCCTTTGAACCTTCAGGCAGACACACACACTTACACACGCACACGTGGGGCGTATACAGAGGATGGATCATGCAGAATGGCTGGCTGACGTGTGTGTCGTGTGTGTTATGTGTAGGTATATGGAGAAGATGGGGACGCAGCTGAAGGAGAGCCTGAAGGAGGTGCAGGAGGCCATGAGCACCGGGCTCAAGGAAGGCATCAAAGAGGTGTGTACTTTCTCCGTGCAGACGGACAGAGGGAGGGAGGGAAGGGGAGTGAAACACCACACCCACAACCGTGTGTGTGTGTGCATTCATTTGTGTGTGCAATCAGGTGTCCCAGGGGATGAAGCGCATCAACGAGGCCATCAGGAAGCGGTTCAAGCGGAAGCAGAAGAAAGGCCGAATACGAGACGGCAACAACCAGAACGTCCCCACACCGCCATCCGGGTGGGTAGTGAGCACACTTACACACACATCCAGGCCAGGTGTCTATTCTATGCGATGTCCAATCCACCTCTCTCGTGTGTCCATGTGATGTGTGTTGATTTGATCTCCCTGTGGCCCCACAGTGACAGCCCCCTGATGCCGACCGCCGAGAGCGGCGACTCCTCCCCCACCAGCAGCACCATCAGACAGAGATCTCAGTCCATTCCCTCTGGGTGGATACTGTCCACACCCACAATGCACCGTACCCGCCATCCACACACACTCACTCATGTGTGTGTGTCATTATCCGTCAGCATGCCGTCCGATGACGACCCCTCGCGCATCGCCAGGCGGCCCTCGAGCGACGCTGCCGCGCTCATCACCGACTCCACAGCCACTGGAGCGTCGCGCCCACGAGCCGCCACAACCAACAGCACCGAAAGAGGCGGCGGCGGCAAAGGTACCTGACCTGAATGCCCACGATGAGCACGGGAAGGCCAGATAGAAGTGTGTGTGTGCAGGTGGTGGTCGGCCGTCGTCCGTGTTGAAGGGCACCCCCAGCCGGCCGGCAGAGGGGTCGGGTGCCGTGGGCTGGTTCGCTCAAGGGAAGAGCGGGGCGCCCAGGGAAAGAGACAAAGACAGACAGAGGGAGGACCACGACGTCGAGACCACCACTGGTAGGTACCCACACACCCACTCGCCCAGACACCCATCCCTCTCTCTCTCTCTCTCTGCCCGTGTCTGTCTGTTTCTCTGTGTGCCCACCACCAGGTCACTCCAACAGCTCTGGCAGCCCAGCATGGAGCACAGAGGAGCCGAGGGAGGCCACGTCGGCCACACAGCCACACCCGGCACAGCAGCACCGGCCCCCACCGGTGAGCATCAGCAGTGGGGCTGGGCAGCCCGACCAAGAGCAGCGTGGCAAGGGCTCGAGCGAGCCGACGACACCTTCTGTGCCTCCATCACAGACGCAGCAACGAGGTGCGCACTCGGTGGTGTGTGTCTGTCTGTCTGCAGCACATGTGTGTGCGTGTGTACAGCTTCGTGTATGTGTGTGTGTGTGTGCGGTTAGCTGCGGGTGCGTCCGAGCCTGTGTCGGCATCGTCAAGCAGTGTAGAGACCAAGAAGAAGAAACAAAAGATGATCGAGCTCGCCAAGAGCCTACCGGTGAGTCAGTCAGTCAGTGAGGCAATGCGGTGTTTTGTTTTTTTGTCTGTTGATGGGATGGCTCTGTGTGTGTGTGTGTCTGTCGGTCAGGCCAAGGCCAACGTGTGGGAGATCGACGCGAGCGCCGTGCCGCCCTCTGTCACACCTGTGCTCGTGTTTGTCAACGCGAAAAGGTCAACACACACACACACACTTACACACAGAGCAATCAGACAGATAGCCATGTGTGCGTGCGTGTGTGTGTGTGTGCGCATGCAGTGGTGGCCAGCTGGGCGCGTCGCTGCTCAGCGAATTTTTCCGGCTCCTCAACCCAGTCCAGGTAGCTACACACACACACGCACACCCTTGCACACTGTGCATGTGTGTGTTTGGCTGTCGGTGTGTCTGTCTCTCTCTCGGTGTGGATGGCTGCGGTGCAGGTGGTCGACATCCAGGCGGAGCGCGGCCCGCAGCGGGCACTGCTGCAGTTCAAGCCGCTGGCCGACGCCAACCAGCTCAAGATCATTGTCTGTGGGTACGTCGGTCGGGACACAGGCGTCAAAGTGTGCTTGTGTGCATGTGTGTATGTGTGTATGTGTGTATGTGTGTGTGGGGGGGTGCCTTGAGCGATGCAGTGGTGACGGGACGATTGGCTGGGTGATGGACGAGATGCTCAAGCTCTACGGCAACTCGCCCGAGAGGCACGTCCCCGTCGCGGTGCTGCCTCTGGTATGGTTGGCAGACGCTCATCATGCACAGTCTGACACACACGCTCATACTCATGTGTGTGTGTTTGTGTGTGTGGGGGGGGG